AAGCTGATGTCCACAGTGCCAAAGGCTGTGTCCTTGGTAAGGGACCTGAGAGACACTGTCCCCGAGACAGAGGCTCTTCCGCTCTGTCTGCGGAGGGACTCTCCCTGGAGGCCTCTGCCTCGGGGACCATGTAGTTGTGGGGAGGGCCCTGGAGGTGGGGCCAGCCTGGGGGTCCTGGGAAGTAGTCCGCTGGGCTGGGCTGGGCTGGGCTGGGCTGGGCTGGGCCGGGCTGGGCCGGGCCGGGCCGGGCCGGGGGGCGGGGGTGGCTGATAGTGGGGGGGCCTGGACACCTGCCCAGCATCAGTCAGAGCAGCTCTGCTACTGCCTTTGCAGAAAGGTTTCTTTGGCGAGGGCTGAGTTTGTTCAGAGTACTTTCAAAAACCGTGTGTCTGGGTCCCCAGCACCCGCACGTGGGTCCCACTCACGGCTCCTGCTCCTGGGGGTGACTTTGGAGTTCGATGGTGTGCCTCAAGTGCAGCCCATGGTAGGGGCATGTCGGTCCTGGGGCGGGTGCTGTCTGGTTCCCAGACTGGCCTCAGGCAGGGCAGGGCCGGTCCCTGCAGAGACTCCGCTCCCCTCCCCCGCCAGGCTGCATGCCACAGTGCGGGCCCCTTGAAGCTGACGACAGGGAGCCTGTCTGGCCCTAGCATCCAATGGGAGGCAGTGAACACCTCACAAGGGTCATGACAGAAGGGGTTTGCTGACCAGCTCTTCTGGTACCCACAGTCCTTGAAGAGATACCTCCCTCTGCACTTGGTGCCTTCCAGCCAGACCTGCAGCTGGTATCGTGTAGGGCACATAAAATAAGCACCAAAAAGAAAAAAAACATTGTGGCAAGCGGTTAAGAACACACGATTTGGAGAGGTGGGCCTGGGTCGAGTCCTGGCCCAGCAAGCAGGCTGTGAGGAGAGTGAAGAGGCTAAGCATGGGGCGCTGGGCAGGCTGGGTGCTCTGTGCAGCTCCTCGTCATGACTGCTGGTGGTTGCTCCTGGTCCTGGGAGAAACCACGGCACCCAGCCCCCGCCTGAGGCAGCTGGGACGAGCCAGCCTCACACCAAAGGACCCAGTGTCGTTGAGCATTTACAAGGCGCTGGGCCCTGGAACAGGCACTTCACAGATGCTTTCCTAACCTTTAAACGGTCTCCCCGCCTGGAAGAGAAAACAGGGCCTTAGGGAAGCTCATGTCCTGCCCGAGGCCGCCACAGCCAGGAGGCGGTGGTGCTGGGGTGCCACTGGGTGTTGTTTGAGCGTGTGGCAGAACGGTGACTCTAAGCCTTGGGTTTGATTTCAGCCAACACACGTCCCATCGAGCTCCTCCAGCCTCACCCTGCCAGGCATCAAAGGGGACAACAGTTTGCTCAACGAGGGCTTCCTGCAGGCCAAGTCCGAGAAGCCAGTGACATCCCAGAAGTGCCGAAGCCACTTCCCAACCCCTGCCCCCGTGAGTGCTGGCCAAGAATGTGGCACCACCCGTGGGGACTTGCTCAGCCCCCTTCTTTACCTCAGGGCCTTTGCACAGGCCGCTCTCTCTGCCTGGATTCCTGACCAACGGGTTTCGGGCCTCAGTCAGTCCTGATGCCACTCCCTCAGGGAATGCACATACCCACATCCCCCTCAGGGGTCTCGTTTGTAATGAAGTTGTCTCTATTTAGTTGCTTAGTATGTGCCTGTCCTTGAGGGCGGGGCCTGCCCTGGCAGCCCCTGTGTGAATATCTGCATGTGTGAACCCCTCCTCACCAGTCTGTGGAGCCTGGTGCCACCGAGGGGTGTGGCCATGTGATCTAGGAACCCAGAGATGGGAGTGGCCTCCTGAGGGTCGGGGGGGGGGGGGTCACAGCAATGTCCTCCACCCCTCCTGCCAGGCTCACCGGGGTTCCCTGGGAGCATGCTACCCCTGCCTGGTTGGTAACCTCCTTGCCTCCCCCCAGATGACCAGTGCCTGGAAGACCGTGGCTTGTGGGGGGACCAAGGACCAGCTCTTCATGCAGGAGAAAGCCCGGCAGCTCCTGGGCCGCTTGAAGCCCAGCCACACATCTCGGACCCTCATCTTGTCCTGAGGGGTTCAGTGGCTGAGAGCCCATTCTCATGTTTACAGGGGGCTGGGGGACTGAGGCTGGTCTATGAATTCAAGAACCACACTCAGGGGACCGCCTTCAGGAGCCTCCTGCTGCCAGCCCCTCCCCAGATGTCTCAGGTGGAGACGCGGGCCACCACTGTCCCGTCTCTGAGTGCAGCTGTGCCTGCGGCAACTTCTGGTGCTAACAGCATTCCCACCCCCGGGCCACAGGGAGCCCCGGGCTCTGGTCAGGCTGGCCTCATCTCAGACCCTTGCTTAGGAGACAGGGCGCTGACCGGCGTGCTTCTTCCTCACCCATTGGTGTATTTTCTTGAATAAATTTGCCTTTTCCCTTGTACTGTTTGGTTCCATCTTCTTTCTGGGCCTTGCCCATGGCTCCCTGGGTCCTCAAGGGATGTGGGGACCTGAGTCCTCGTCCTGAGTGCAGCCTTGTCTGTGCAGCCCGGCCCTGGGGCTCTGGACCCTGCAGGGTCCCTTTTGTGTCTGCACTCAGTGGGCATCTCAGAGCTCTGAGGACTTTGGCTGCTGGGTGAGGGCGGGTGGATGACTTGCGAGAGCCTTGGCTTGGCCTGTGATGAGCCCAGCCCTGGGTCAGACTGGTGAGTGAGAGGGAGAGGGCTGGCCATGGGGCCCTGCTTTTCCCGAGGCTGTGGTGGTGGTGGTGGTCGTCTGTGGTGGTCTAGGACCGGTGGCTAGGCTGGCACTTGGCTGGTAGCTGGGAAGAGTCAGGATTGATGAGGGGCAGGTGCCAGGTCTAAGGTCTAGGTCAGGGATTGGCATTTCCAGCAGTGGAGTTGGTTGGACAGCATGTGTCCATCCCTGGGGACAGAGGTCTCAGTTCATTGCAGCTGGAGGGAGCTTCAGGTGGGAGGGGGAGCTGGGAGCAGGCCAGGCACCCTTGGTGAGAAGTTGGCGGGGGGGGGGGGGGGTGGTAAAGACAATCAGGGAAGCTGTGGGGACTCATGTTTAGGTGCAGCACATTGACTTAGTAAAGTGTAAGATAGGGAGTAAATATTTCTTTGCATTTTTTTAATCTTCCCCTCTAGTAAAGGCCTAGGTTTTCTAAGATGCTTTTATTAGTATTTGTCTATTTTTTTTTAATTACAAAAGATGCTGCTTTCAACCCTTTTGGATATAGCCCCAGAGGAAGAATTGGTGGGTTATGTGGTATATATTTTTAAGTTTTGTTTCGTTTCAGTTAGGTCTTTAGTATTTTCAGGAAAAGCCATCTTCTGTGTTACTGAGGCCTTTGCGATGATGGTGAGATTCTGTCGCCTCCTGGTGGTCATTGGTGTGTTTGCAGCAGTGGGCCATAGCTGCTGCTGGAAGGTCTCAGAAGGTCTTTGAAGAATTTTTTTGATTTTAAGGCTCCCTGTTCATCCTCAGCAAGCAGTGGTCTGGGCTTTGTTTGAACACCTCCACTGATGGAGGGAAGTAACTTTACTACTTGGCACCCAGCTCCCTTGTTGGGCAGCCATTGTGAAGAAAAGATTCTTTGTCCAAAGAAAGAAAGTCTCCCCTTTGTAGTGTCTAAAGTGAAAGGAATGACTGAGGTACATGGGAAGACGGTTTGGGGGGAAATCCGGGACCCAGCACAGGCATTAGCTGGAGGGCTGACCACCGGAATGAGCTACTCTCCTAGCGAGCGGACCCTGCGTGAATTGAGTGCGTGGTGTGTGCAGAGACCACTGAGGCTCTGATGTAATAGTAATACTGCTTTAACCCCTTCTGAGGTGGGTTTTCTGGTTCCACCTTCCAGATGTGTTTGACAGTCCTCAACGCTGAGTTTGGATGTGAGCTGAGAATCAGACCTCTCGTGGCTACAGACAGACCGGTGAGCACAGCTGCGCAGGATGATGGTGTGATGCTCAAGTGTTAACTAGGACCTACTTCCAGGACTTGGGTTAAAGGACACAACAAACCAGGCAGTCTGGGGAGGCAGGTGCAGAGCCTGAGACTCCAGTGCTCTTCACAAAGGCGGGTTGAGAGGATGCAGGTCTCCTGCCCCATCTGGACTGTCGCCCTGGCCCGAGCACCAGGTAGATGCTCAGTGGACATCTCCTCCTGCCATGAAGGGGTGGCTGAGAGAGCTTGCAGAGCAGCCAGGACTGGGGAGGGAGGGCTTCCTCATGTTCTAGAATTGGTTTCTAGCTTCACTCTCCCAAGTTCAGGGAATAGTGTGTGGTTTCAAGTCTGAAATTTGAGACTTGCTTTCTGACGGAGCATATGATCAATTTTGTAAATGTTCCCCTGCATGTGGAAAAAAAAAAAGTACAGTCTGCAGGCATTGCTAATCTTATCATCCAGATATTCGATATCCTGGGTGTTCTGACTTCTCTCTGTGGACCCGGAGTAACAGACCCCCAAATGACTCGTGATAAGAATGCTGTTTCAAGCCACTGAATGCTGAGATGGTTTGTGCCTCAGTGCTACTGTGGCGATAACTAGCTGATACAGGAGGCAGACATGTCCTAAGAATGAACAATGTCCCCTGGGCTCAACAGGGTGAAGGAAGAACTTAGGAGACTCAGAACTTGGCTGGGAATGAGTGGGATGAGAGATTCTGAAATCTAGAGCCATTTTGACCGTGTGGGTGCCCTGATTGTTCCCCAGGACACCTGGCCAGGTGTCCTCGGCTCTCCCCCCACCATGGGTGGGACTCGGAGTTTGGATCAGACAGACGTCAGTCAGCTTGGCTGTTACTAAACTGGTCTCCTGCTGTGCACCGTGGAGCCTTCAGCTATGAAATGAGAAACCTTTCGGAGTTGTTGAAGGGATCAGAGAGAGTGTACTTGGGGCTCAGAAAATATGGGCTCTTAGGATGTTACGAAAGCTTTTTCATTTTTTTCTTATGCACATTTAACGCTGCAAAGGAGTGGTATTCACACGTCAGTTCAGTGGAAGTCACTGGGTTGTGGTCACGTCAGGACTTGCAGGCCGGACTGTGATCGTCTGGTTTGTAGTTGTTGGCCAGGGAGGCTGTGGGACTGGAGAAAAAGCATAAGTATCAGGTGAAAGGCTTTCCGTGGAAGTTCCACACACACCCCCAGGGAACAGCTGGGGGAATCTCCACAAAGCGAACACGCCCGTGTGACCAGTGCCCGAGAGACCTCCACACCCTGTCCAGGGTGCCCGCCATCCTAACTTCCAACACCACACATTTATACCCCCGCCTTTTTAAAAAATTTAAATGTGTAAACTGAATTTCACATTATGTGAGACTTTCCCATGTTGATTCAGGGTTTGCTGCTTCTGGTGACCATGTGGTATTTGTTCCACTGTGTGACCTTCCTACCAGGCACCCATTCTCCTGCAGGACACGTGGAGTGTTTCTGGGTCGGCTGGGACAGATAGAGCTGTTACGAACAACTGGTCCTCATCTCTCCACCAACTTGTGTGTTTTTCTGGTTTATACGTAGCGAGGACTGGAATTGCTGGAGACCGGTCCAGTTTAATAAGGCCTCTTGCCGCTCACTGGTTTTGTGAACCGAAGCATGTTATATACCTTCTCTGAGACCCACTTTTCGTATCTGTGTGTTGGCAATAAAACTACTTGCCCCTCAATTTTTCCTAAAGTAGTATCTGCAAGGCACCTGGCCCCAGGGTGGCTGCCTCTCTTTCCCTCCTCTGCCTTGCCAGAGCCCCACTGTCCTAGAACATGGTTTTTCTGCTAGGCCCCCCCTCCACCAGGAATCTTGCCTATGAACTTGGGAAGCTTGCCTGCTGGTGGGGCTGCCTTTACCCGGCCCGTTTGCCAGCTCTCCTTTGTGACTCAGTCACTGGCGTCCAGCCCAGCACTTGCTGTGGTCCCTGTCACTGGTGACAAGCGTTTTTAGGATGGTCCCCATAAGAGTGTGGCTACCAGCAGATGTTTTCTGGAGTCAGGCCCAGTGGAGACAAGGAATGAGGACTGAGGGGAGGGAACAGATGGCTGAGATCCAGCTCAGGAATGTAGTAGAACAGACATTCCTCTCGCCCGGTTCCCCCCGCCCCACCCACCCCCAGCCCAGATCTCCAGGCAGAAGTTTTTCTCCAGTCCCTGTTTCCTTCTCTTCCTGAAACACTTTGAATCAGGCCATGAGGGCGACAGCGGGCCAAGTGGGGAACCTGCCTCCAGGGGGCTCTGTCAAGACAGTGCTGACTTTGACTGTCGTATAATGGCAGCCTGGAGCCTGGTGTTGAGAAGGATTCTGAGGGTACCGTCCAGGCTCAGGAAAGAGTGCTGTGGTTGATTAGTTATGTCTGTTAGGTGCCCGGAAGTGGGTGCTGGTGATGCACATTTCACAGGTTCACTACTGTCTGGTTAGTATTGATCAGAACAGACCTGTGTTTGATTTACAGAGATGAATGAATGTCTTTAAAGAGGTGTTAAATCCTTTTACACTTGTATGGTTATTTTCTAAATTTTTTAAAAATATATTTTATTGATTATGCTGTTACAGTTGTCCCATTTTCACCCCTTTATTCCCCTCCGCCCTGCACACACCCTCCCACCAGCATTCCCGGCTTTAGTTCATGTCCATGGGTCGTACATATAAGTTCTTTGGCTTCTGTATTTTCTATACTATTCTTAACTTCCCCTGTCTATTTTCTACCTATCATTTATGCTACTTATTCTCTGTACCTTTCCCCCCTCTCTTCCCCTGCTACTCCCCCACTGATAACCCTCCATGTGATCTCCCTTTCTGTGATTCTGTTCCTGTTTTAGATGTTTGCATAGTTTGTTTTTGTTTTTGCTTTAGTTTGGGTTGTTAACAGCTGTGAATTTGTTGTTGTTTTACTGTTCATATTTTTTAAATCTTTTTCTTAGATAAGTCCCTTTAACATTTCATATAATAAGGGCTGGGTCCTTTAACTTGACCTTATCTGGAAAGCACTTTATCTATCCTTCTATTCTAAATGATAGTTTTGCTGCATAGAGTAATCTTGAATGTAGGTCCTTGCCTTTCATGACTTGGAATACTTCTTTCCAGCCCCTTCTTGCCTGTAAGGTTTCTTTTGAGAAATCAGCTGATACTCTAATGGGAACTCCCTTGTAGGTAACTGTCTCCTTTTCTCTTGCTGCTTTTAAGATTCGCTCCTTAATTTTAATCTTGGGTGCTGTAATTATGATGTGCCTTGGTGTGTTCCTCCTTGGGTCCAACTTCTTTGGGACTCTGAGCTTCCTAGACTTCCTGAAAGTCTATTTTCTTTGCCATATTGGGAAAGTTCTCCTTCATTATTTGTTCAAATAAGTTTTCAATTTCTTGGTCTTCCTCTTCCCCTTCTGGTACCCCTATGATTTGGATGTTGGATTGTTTAAAGCTGTCCCAGAGGTTCCTAAAACTCTCCTCATTTTTTTGAATTCTTGTTTCTTCATTCTGTTCTGGTTCGATGTTTCTTTCTTCCTTCTGCTCCAAACTGTTGATTTGAGTCCTGGTTTCCTTCCTGTTGCTGTTGGTTCCCTGTAGATGTTTCTTTATGTCACATGATGAGACCTTCATTGCTGCCTGGGTCTTTATTATGCTTTCAAAGTACTCAGTGAGTTCCTGGAGCAACCTGATCCACCAGTGTTTTCAACTGTGCATCTGATAGGCTGGCTATCTCTTCGTTGCTTAGTTATATTTTTTCTGTAGCTTTGATCTGTTCTTTCATTTGGGCCCTCCCCCCCCTTACATAGTAAGGGGTGGAGATTTAGGTGTTGTGATGCTCTCTGTGGGGGAGGGGTCCGAGAGGGAACGGTGGCGCTTGGTGTGCTCTCTGCCAGATTTCAGTCACTTTCCCAGCTTCCCACAAGCAAACCGGGCCCTTCTGGTGCTGATTCCCAGGTGGGTGGGTTTATGTACGTTCTAGGACCCTGCGGGTCTCTCCAACGAACTCTCCTGTGAGTCTGGGAGTTTCTCCCACTGCCGCCTCAACCCCCACAGGTTTTTTCAGTCAGAGGTTGAGGCTTTATTTCCCTGAACTGGAGCCCTGGGTTGTGCGGTCTGTCTCGCTCCCCAGTTGTTCCTCCCGGTTTATCTGAGAGTGAATGTGGGACCGTGAAGTCCGCGATCCGCCGCCTCGAGTCCTCTCTGCCCGGATGCCCGTCCCAGCTCCTCATACGGGTCTGGATGAATATTTCTTCTTTAACTCCTTGGTTGTTGGACTTCCACACAGTTCAGTTTTCTGTCAGTTCTGGTTGTTTTTACACTGGTTGTTGTCCTTGTTTTGGTTGTGCGAGGAGGCACAGTGTGTCTACCTACACCTCCATCTTGGCCGGAAGTCCTTACGAAGAAATTGTTAATTCTTTGAGAATTAGTTGAAGGGGGCAGGGGTGGCCAAGGTATGATGATTACTTTATAAAAAGCTTAGCAGTTAATATTTCCTTCTGAAATCTTAAGACTTGGGCCTTTTGCTGTTGCTAAAAAATAGGTATTTTATTTTTTAAAAATTACTGATTGACTTTAGAGAGGAAGGGGAGAGAGGGGGAGGGGATTGACTTGTTGTTCCACTTGTTTACACATTCATTGGTTGATTCCTGTATGTGCCCTGTCATATTGGGACACTGCTCCAACCAATGCTGCTGGCCAGGGCTAAAAACCAGGTAGTTTAATTTTTTGATCAGATACTGCATTTACACGCATTCACACGCATTCATGCACATGTAAATGTCACTAAAGGGCCTGGAATAGCAAGTGCTTCCCCGGCTGACCTGCAGTCACCTCGGTCCCTTTCCTGGGGAAGCCCATTGCCCGTGTTGAGTGAGAAGCCCAGCACTTGGGGGTCAGATGGCAAACTGCAGGCTCTGTGTGTCTCCTCAAGGAAAAATTGTGTGCAGATACAAGCAAGTACCTCTATGTGTCCTTTCCCACAACGGCACAAAAATGGCCGCGTGATATGGAGAGTGTTCTGGACTTGGCTTGTACCAGTGAAACCAGGTTTGGCACAGTGACCCACAGACTCATAAGCCACCTCCAGCCCATCACCAGCTTTTGTAGTTTTCTTGGGTTGCACATTCACATCCATACATCAAGGCTGCTTTCATGCTACCAGGGCAGAGCAGAAGAATTGTGACAGAGACCATACGGCTCACGAAGCCTAGAATATTTCCTCTCTGGCCCTTTAGAGAACAAGTTTGCTGGCCTCAGTGAAACGATATGCCTTAGCCTTTTCGTGTTGGTACGGAAGGAGCTCCCCCACTCTTCTTCAGGGCAGCATGCTCTTCCGTTTTGTGGCTGCACCATCCTTCATTTCACCAGCCCTCCTACTGGGTGTTTGGATCATTTCTGACCTTCTTATGCTGCAGAGAACGCTGCAATGACTAACCTTGTGCCCACCCCGCTCCTTCCACAAGTGTGCATATATTCGTAGGCTGAACTAGAAGCGAAAGTGCCCCAGCAAAGCACTGTGCACTGCTTATTCCTATAGCTCTTGTCAAATTATGCCCCAGGGAAATTTACCAACTAACCTCACCGATGTTGTAACAGTGATCGTGTGCCCATCTGTGCCAGCGGAATGTTCTGAAGCCTTTGATCTTTACTCATCAGCTTAGGTGAAAAAAGAAAAGGAAAATCCCAGTGTAGTTTGCATTGCATGCCTTTTATTCAGGTGAGTTGCTTCTCCTTTCATGCATGTGAGAGGCCGGTGGCTCCTTTCTGCTGCTAGCCGGAGGGTCTTCTGGGGGGTGGTCAGGGATGGGGCAGGTTCAGGCGCCTCTCTTTCTGAGTCACTCTCACAAACAAGGTTTTGGAAAACAAAAGTCTTAAGGACAAACACAGGATGGCTGTTAGTGTCATCGACGTTCCAGACATCGGGGTTGGGGGCCCAAGGGGACCCAGGGGGACCCTGGAGGGCTGCTTCCATTCTGCTCTGGACTTGGAAAGCTACCTTGCAGGGGGCTCCAGCTGTCACCTTCCTCCCCTAGGCTCCTGTCGGCACAGCCTGCCTCGTGCGCCTCCAGCTTTTTGATGGGGACCACGTGGCAGGTGTTGTATTTGCAGCTGGTCATCTTTCCGGCTTTCTTGGGGCTCTTCTTCCTGCACGATGCCAGGTGGTATTGGAATCTGCTGAGTGGGACGCGGTGGTGAGGGTCATAAGCGCAAGTTTCTAAGGCTTCTGGCTCCATGACCAATTTCTCTGGAAGCAGAGCAGCTCACCGCCCAGAGGCAAAATGAATCGTCCCTCATGGAAAAAGTCCTTTGGCCAGAAGGATGGAGCTGTCCTCTGCCTGGCGCTGGCCCTGGGAACTCTGTAGGCAAAGTTCTTAATTTGCATTCCCTGCTCCCTGGGGCCACAGAAGGTGGGGTAGGAAAGGGCTGAGGGGTTACCAGGAGCAGCTGGTCAGCGGGCAGTCACCAAATGGCACCTGAGCCCAAGATCTCTATAGACGGCAGAGTCAGAAACTCAGCAACCCTGCGGGGAGGTAGAGCAGGTATGTGCCACGCCCCCTGCCCTGTGATTCCGAGTCACAGCGTGTGATGTCAAGCGGCCATTCAGGCAGTCACAATGGGCAACCTGCGTCACCAGGGGAAGGCTGCTTGTCCAGCACTCTTGGGGGTTGAGGGGGCTTTGGGACAGCTGCCGTTTAAAGTTGGGACATCTGTTGTCATTTATCCATCTTTAAACTTAAACATTTAATATAATTCCTGCTCTATTTGGGTTTAAATCAGCTATCTTATTTTGTGCTTCTTTCGTGCTACTCTTTGGCTTATTTTTTCCTTTCTTTCCTTACTTTACATAGACAATTTACAAAAATTTTTTATGTTTTCCTACTATTTTGTAAGTTATACACTTACCATTTGGTAGTGACTCTACAAATTAAAACGTTCATAGACGACTTATCAAGTTCTAAAGTTAATAAGAGTTTTACCCTCTTCCTGAGTAACGCAGGGCTGGGTCTTCGTCTGCCACCCCCTGACTGATGTGACTGCCTTGGACAGTGGGGGGCACACGTAGCTTTGCAGTTGTTCACATGGCAAACGATAGAGTAACCGGCCAACAGTAACACGAGGATGAAGTCTGTTCCGCACCCGCACGACTGGAAAGCCTACTTCTGCCCAGGCCTGTATTTTAAGCCTAAGTTTTAAAAACCTGAGAAGACTATCGCGATTGCCATTTTCCGTCGTCAAAGCTGGTTTTTCCTCCTTCTCCGTGTTTACCCCCACCCCCCACCTTGTAGCTCAGGTCTGCCAGTGGGACCACGCAGTTTCTGTGGCAGGTTCCCCTTTTAGACTTTTTGTTTGGCTTACTCTCTGGGTTTTGTCTGTCTGAAAATGTCTTTATTCCACCCTGTTCTTAAAAGATATTTTTGGTAATTGTAGTTGTATTTTCTTTCTTCACATCGAAGCCGAGTTCAATCTTTTCTCACCTCCACCCCATGGCCGAGAAGCTGGAATTCCACCGATAGCTTCTTCCGAAGGCAATCGATTTCTTTTTGTGGATCTGTTTTAAGAAATTTTTTCTTATCTTTGGTTTTTCTACAGTGTCTTTCTGTTGGTGAACAGTGAATTTTGTTTGATTTCCTTGGTAGACCTCTTGAATCTGCAGATCAGTGTCTCCAGTTAAGTCTCGGAAAACACCCAGCCATCGTCTCTTCAAACGCTGCTGCTTCCCTTCTCCAACTTCTCCTGACATGATAGCTGTCACTTCCGCTGACAGTGCAGTGTCCAAAGTGAGTCTCACGGCCACGCCTAACTTCAAGGGTCAAGGAAGTACAGTCCTGTTGTGTGTGCCCAAGGAGGAGGGGAGGAACTTTGCCAAGTGTCCTAAGAACGTCCCCAGCCAGTCCCCTTTGTCACCAGCAGTCATTTCCCTTTTCTGCACTACAAGGTAGTCCCTCCTCCTCGAGGGAGAAAGCCCGAAGTCTCAGCTCAGAGTAGGGGGACGTGGCCTGGTCAGTACTCACTGGGGGCTTCCAGGGCTCTGGCAGGACCCCACTCTGGACCGGTGGCGATTCTAGTGGCGCCAACCAAGCTGTCTCCTGTGAGGAGTGAGGGGTCCCTGGGATCACATTCACTGTACAAACCCCGGCCCCCAGCTCTCTCCTGCCCAGCTTTGCCAAAGAAGCGTCCTTGGTAAATCGGAACTTCCCCACCGCTGACATGACCGAGAGCCTGATTTCTCCAAGCCTGCGATCCAGTATTGGAGAAACTGACACGCCCTCCCGGGAGTGACCGGTAGCTTGGCATCTGCTCTTACCCAAAGCCCAGCACGGTGCTCGCTGCCCACGCTGACAGTGCTTTTTAGATCCCAGCCCCATACCCTTTTCTCGGGCCCACGACCAGGGCTGGCGCAGACTCGGTAATTCAGGCATTGGTAAGAGCCCATGAATGGGGACGGTAACGACAGCACTTCACCTGTCATTAAAATCCATGTAGGAAGGGCAGGGCGTTGGCTGCAGTCAGCTTCTGGGCAGCCAAGCACCCATTACCGAGACAGGCCAGCATTCAGTCCATAATGGAGAGAGGGAAGGCTGGGTTTGTGAGTGCTTCTAATGGATGTCTTGAATGGTCCTCAAGCCTGCAGCCTTCTCCTGGTATCTGCTCCAAGACTGGCACCTGACAGGTCGCTCACCATGGCAACACGAGGGGAGAGAGGGATGCAGACAATCCTCTCTCTGCATGCACGGCTAATATCGCAGGCGAGGTCAGGTCTGTTCTCTGCTCACGTTCTGCACCAACCCCCCCCTGCCCCCACACTGATGATCTCCAGAGATGCTGTCGAAAGATGGTAATGCAGGCACAGAGCTGAGAAGGTCACAGAGCATGCAGAAACAATGTTTTCTGGACGTGAGAGACGGTGTGCCCTGGCTGGCCACGCTGCACTCATCAGGATGAGTGAGGATGGAGCCGCCGGAAGATGAGAGTCACTGTGAGTGCATCCTTCAGGTGCAGAGAGACTTCTAATGTCGCGGCCAGCCTCTGTCCCAGAGCGGGTGTCCCCTCCAGAGCAGCCCCACAGCATGGTCCTGTGGTGACAGGGAGCTCCCTGCCTGACCAGGAGGTCCGCCACCAGGGTCCTACTCTGAGCCGAGATGACCTGGCTCCTCCCAGCCTTCAGCAGTTGGAGTCAGCCTCGCCCAGGCTCTGGGACTGTCCTCCATGATGGAAGGTGACCCCAAGCACGCTGACCTCCTGTAGTGTGTGTGTAAGGGGACACTCCTGGGGAGGGGTGTCCACTCCACTTCTGGCCCCTGATGTCTCCTTGCATGTGCAGCTGACGGGTGTGGTCAGCCTCTGTGGCCTCTCTGAGCACTTGAGTTCTGGCCCCAGGCTTCTCCATGATGCCCTTTACTGCCGCTTCATGTTCAAGGCTGCCCTGGTCTCAGCCCATTGGGGCTCCAGCTGCCCTGCAATTTGAGGCTCTTATTTTGAAAATGCGCCAGAGCTTCTCCATAGGGACCCCTCTCCATTGGGACCACAGGATCTTGTTAAGATGCCAAGCCTCAGTGACATTTGGGTATCACAGCCATGGTGCATTTGAAAATGAATCGGAATGCATTCTATTTTATTTTATTTTATTGTTTTCTGGATGGTTTAAGGAGCCTAGAAACATTCTTTGGAAGTTTGAAAGAACTTTTTTGCTAAACTCTCTGATCCCCTCCTCCCCATCCTTTTGGGAAATATTAGTTCTATGTTCGTTTTCAAGTTGGTTTCATGGTTTTCTACCTGTCTTGCTCATTCTCGTTTTTCTAAAAAAATATGCTGTTATGGAATGAATTGCGACTCTCCCCCCCAATTCATATGTTGAAGTCCTAACCCCACTGTGGTGTATTTGGAGAGGTGGTTAGGACGTATTTAAGATGAAATGAGGCCGTAAGGGTGGGGCCCCCATATAATAGGACAGGTGTCCTATGAGAGGAGGAAGAGACACAGATCTCTCCCTGTCCCCAGGAGCACAGAGGAAAGGCCATGAGAGGACACGAGAAGGGGGCCACCTGCAAGTGGGGAAGATAGGTCCCACCCCAAACCAATCCTGACAGCACCTTGACCTTGGACTCCCAGCCTTTCGATCTGTGGGAAAATGAGCTACGGCTGTTGCAGACGCCCAGCGTGTGGCCCTGGGTTACGGCAGCCAGAGTGACGAAGACGCAGGTGCTCTCCACCGAACACTTTAAAGTAACGAGCCCCCCCCCACGCGTTTAGGGCTCTCCTTTAATCTGAACACGCTTCTCTGCGCCTCTGTTGGAATGTCCTTGGCTTGCCTAGTGTTGCGTTTTGGGTTCCTCCTCTCACTCATCTGCCTCCTGCCCCCTCCCTTTATTGGGCCTTTACGAGTCTAGACACCTTACAGCAGTTACAAGTAGTCAGTCCTTAGACGGACCCTTTCTACTGATCTCTGTATTTCCCACTTTATTAAATTTTACCTTTACTCGTAATTCTCTCCCAGGGTTGATCACGTGGCTTATTTTCTAGCTTCCGGAGTGGGACATGTTAGTCACTCCCAGCCTTCCTCATTAATGACAAAAACACGCAGAGCCCTGGGGAGTGCTTTGGGTCCATTCCATGAATTTTGCAACACGCAGTTCCAATCGTCATTTTGTTCCAAATGGCCGATAACTGCGATTTTTTTTTCTTTTTCCTTCTCTGACTTGAGTTATTCAGGGAAAAAAATTTCCTAGTGATTTAATTTTTTGGTTGTTTATTCTTTGGCTTTTAATTCCTGCTTTTACGGCCCTGTGGTCAGATACTGTGGCCCGGGAAAGACTGCGTGTTCGTGCCGCTGAGGTTTGCTCTGTGGCCAAGGACATCATCGGTTTCAGCCAGTTCCTCACAGATGTTTGAATGAAATGTCTTTTCTGTGTGTGTGTTTATTACATGACGCCTGCTTTTCTCAGCGTACGTTCCTGGCGACCTGAGTCCGACAGAGCCACTGTGGGAACGACGGTCACTCTGGGTGGCTTCAGTGACAGCAATGGGTCCCCCCAGAGCTGTGGCAGCCAGAGCCCTGCACGTCACCCCTGGGGAGTCACGGTGTCCATCAGCTTGATCCAAGAAGTCCCGAGGCGAGATGGCCAGTGTTCCTTGGTTTAACTCTGTGTTTTCTGAGTGTAGTGTTTTCTCCTTAACACCTCCTACCACCTCAAGCAGATAGTTTTCCACGGGACATGTTTCAGAAAATTCTGTT